GAACGCAACGCAAAGCTTTTACATACTCAACGTTTATTAAAAATAGTATGAAATGATCCCTGGGAGAAGTTACACGCTAATTCAAGTCCCTTCTTCTGAGTTGTTTTTTTTTGTCACGTCCAACACCCCACCCCCACCCCCCCCCAAATCCACTGATTGCATGAGATGCGAGTTAAACAACATTCCCTAGCTGTTTAAACAAATCTAGACGTGCTTGGGTAAAGCACAAATTTAACTTCTATTCATATTTACAATACTTTACAAGCTATATTAAATAAATACGGGCTCTGCTACACTTTAGCGCCTTAAATATGTACAACATTATTTCTCAATCGGATTTTGCTAGATAGATGTGGGTCCCATCGCAGTGGATGTCCTGGCTGTAACAAGTATCCCTGTGGCACCAGCTGGTAAGTACCATGACCAACCAGCCCTCAGAACAATTCCTAGCCAATGCAAGATCTGTGCGGTAAATAATTTAATCCATTCTAACAAGTTCAAGTCCTTAAATCTTAGTCTACAGTAATTAGCTGTACACGGATAACTTCAGGTTTTCCTCATGGTAACCAACGCAGGACATAGCTGTCTGTTCTGGAAGTACAGTGCTCTGTAGCTGAGGGGGGTGACTAAAAAAACAGTACTTCAGTTAAACTCCTTTGTTTGGTGATATGTTTAACTCTGTACTGGCTTGATCCATGTAATCTGAAGAATTTAAGCACCAAAAAAGAACAGCCACACCAGATGATCTGCATAGACATACTTGGACTTGTCTTTAGGTACAATGTTTTCAAGTAACAGAATCCAATACTGTGCAACAAAGATGATAAAGGGGACTAAATTTGCATTGTATTGGAAAGCCAGGTTTTGCTGTTAATGGCAGCATTTATTCAATGCATTATTTGCAAAAGAATGGAATGTATTGTAATTTTAAAGTTACTTTTATTGTACATAAATGGGATTAGAGTCAGCCCTGGCTGGTTGAGAAAATATGTTTCACCTCTCTGCCAGGAAGGATCCTTTCCTACTACAGGAGATACATTCCCTGGGGAAGGCAGCTTGTCACTCAGCAACAGTATCACTGAAGTGCCCTATGGGCCAAACACACCACATAACTTGTATTTCACCCAAGCATCCAGCCAAGTCCCTTTCTCTCTCAGGGTTACTGACTTTGGGACTCGAACAAATACCCTTCTCATCGCTGCATATAAAACACAGCTACTCAACAAATTCACACCCAGCAACTATCCAGTGCTGGGCTCTGTGCTACAAGATACTCAAATTTTCTCTGCCTGTCACAAAAGCCACCACCTCTGGAGGTACGAAATTCAGTCTAGCCATCTTCACAGGCAGTGGAGCTTGCCTTCTACTGCCCATAACATCCTCCAGACAAGGACTGTGTCACATCCAATAATTCAAAGAAAAAGATCTCACTGCCCATCCTCTACTTACTGTGCAGTTAAGGAAAGTAGAAAAGGCTTCAGACACAGGGCTATCAGTCTGGCATCCCTCACAAACACTCGGATGAGATTTTGTTTCAAATATAAGGAGCGTGTTCTATAGTAATATAGCATGTGCATTGGTCCCACACTCTTGGAATATGTATGTCAAAAAGTAACGTGCAAGAAGTATGTGCATTCACACACTTGGCATGTTGGTGTGACTACCAGCATCCTGCTCAGAAATCTGCAGTCACTAGAGTAGCTGCTTAGCTGAATGCTCCCATATGTAACCAGAGTAATCACACAAGTATTTTGGATGCAGAACACAGGTCACCAACTCAAAAGTCCAAATACTAAGGTTTTCACATGATAAAATGGCACGACACCTGGCTCGATGGCAAGAATCACAGGGTATCACGCCTAACAAGGGAAGAGATGTGAAGGTTAAAGAGGAGATGAGAAGCCAACCTGAACTATGGAGTGAGACCCCAGACACTGTGCACATGGCCTTTTTCACTTCCAGGATCCTAAACCATTTTTTAAAAGATACATTTCACATCTATTTACAACGTGATACAACGTCTGATTGTGTAATATTACAGAAATATATGATGCCAGTACTGAGTGTCCTAGTATATACTCTGTCATGGTAAGGCAGTACAGTTAGAAATTTCTAAAAGCATCAAGCAAAGCTACTTGAACTGAGACACTGAAACTTCTCCCTTAGAGACTGGACAATATTCTGCTGATTAGGAGATGGTACTCTCCACAGGTAGTCGTTCAGTTTATCCGAATCACCGTATGCAGTCAGATAGGGGTTAAGTGCATGTTTGCTGCTGTCAGACTTGGCAGGAGTACAAGAGACAGTTTTGCTGCAGAGTGTTTCAGAAGGAGCAGCATCTGCATTATGCAGCTTAGGATCCAATTTCCTTGCTTGGTTCTGAGAGGTCTCCAAGTCAGATCCTTCATCTTCAGACTTTATTTCAACATAGTCATCATCATCCCCTTCTTCTTCAGTATCTTTGAAATTAGAAAAATAGTTCTGAGTGGCCACCTGTGCTGTCAGAGGGGAAGCCCTGTTCACTCTCAGGACCTTTTGAGAATCCTGCAGAATCATATCAGAACAGTTTTCAGGGATCTGATTTCTCTTCTCAGGCCCGGTACATCCTGACGCAATACCCGGTGTTTGATGGCTGTTGAATCGGAAGTTCCTATTTGAATGCAGCTTTTTCTTCTCCATTTCATTAGGATATATGATGGCTTCTCCAGACCTGCTGACCACAATCGAGGAAGATGACTGCGACCTGCTGTAAACCTGTGGTTTTACATTGGTTACTCTTTTCCCAAGGGAGTTATAGATGTGATCTTGATGTAAATTTTCTTTGTTTGGTTGGCTTATAATGGTGCTCCACCTCTGTGCCGGGACATGCAAACGGTTAGAAATCTGAAGTGAAGGCACCGAGCCAGCTGATGGCAACTGCCTCGAATTGCTTTTTGTACCAGCTTCTGCATACAAGCTCTTTGACTTTGGCTCTTGGGATTCAGACCATGGAGAGAAGTCGGCCAGCTCACCATTACTGTAGGTAGAATGCAAAGGCCAATCCTCTGCTCTTGAGCATTCACTGTCAGCCTGGGAACAAGGAGGAGATGCAGCCACCAGTGTGGAATCCCTCCCGACCGATGGCTCCTGAGGGGTGGTCCAGGCTTCCTTTTGGACCTTGGGTGAACTTTCTCTAAAGACGACTTGGTCATAAAGCTGGGAATATTCAGCTATTCTGGCACCTAGAAAGAAGAGAGAATGAACTTAGAAGAGGCAAGCAATCCATTCAAATGAGTGGCATGAAGATTTAAAAATCCCAGAATGCTTTATATTGGTTAAGAGAAAAGTTTACAGCTGTGTCAATGTCTTCAGCCTGAACAAAATAACATGAAACAATGGAGGCTGGAAGAGGCATGCATCGCATTTCAGTGCACTGCATTGAAAAAAAAAAGAAGCATAAAATGCCTTGCAACAGTAAATAATCATGCAGGACAAAATGTAGCACACAGTTCAAATAATACCCTGCTTGTTTCATGTTAAAATGGAAAAGAACATTCTGAAAATAAACTGGTAAAGATGATATTTAAGGATTTTTATAAATATATCACAAGAAGGCAAGAATGACACTCTAGCACATGAAGTCTGCTGGCTCCAAGTCTCCAATTTGTTTCAACTGACTGCAGACAAAATTAGTTCCAAAGCTGTTGTATAACCACAATGTTGCGTATTTATTAGAAAGAGCAAGAACACCAGCTCTTTCTTATCAGACCCCATTCCTTATGCTTGTAAGCATGATATGGATGATACCTGAGCAAACATACATGACTTGTTAGAAGGTGAATGTACCAGGAAATACACCTTTTCAATCAAACTCTGGAAGCTCACACTATTACAGAAAATAACCACTTTTCTGTAGAAAGGCCAATAATGCTTCAGGCATAACTTCTATTTCCAGCTTAAGCTGAATTGATCTTCCTGACACTACCTCACTATTTATTCCCAGATTTATCAAGTAACAACAAGAATTTATTGTGATAGAAAGGCATATTCACATTAGAAGCAGGAACAGAAAACTCATTTCAGAGGTAACTCAGAAAGCACAATGCTAATACTCAACTAGTAAGGTGGGGGAAATTCAAAATCTTCCCATTTCAATGAAAGTTACTGAAGTAATATATATGTAAATAAATATTTTTGACATACCAATAGCAGGACCACCTTGTTTCTTCTCCTCCAGAATGGCAGCAAGATCTTTGTGTTTCAGTTTTTGTTGTCTGCTAGCTGGCTGCTCCTGCTCTGGGCTTTTAACTTTCAAAAGTTGGTTAGCCTTCTTTATTTTTTGACTGTACTGTCTTGCCATCATAAAAACTCTGTTTTTTGTTTTATCCACAACAGCCAAGTCACTTTCCATACCCTCTGTGTGGACGTTGGACAGAACAGTATTGGCAGATTCATATGGGCTATCTACAAAAGGCACCTCACTGGAGAAGGAAGATCTGTTCAGACTCAAAAAAGAGTTCTCCTTGTACGGTGTAGTGTCTTCAAGCCTGAGGTTAGCCTCACTTAAGGTGGCAGCCCTGGGCTTCACAGTTTTAGGGAAAATAGGAGTTTCTGGCAGAGAGAGAGTAGACAGTGAGTACTCTACATCTTTACTCAGTTCGGGTGTACTACCAGCATGCAGCCGTTCCTGCATATCGTCTTTACAAACAGGAAAGGCTGCAAGAAGACGGTCTCTTGTCTTTTCCTCGTTCTTCTTGATGTAGTTCTCCAGGTCATTCCAAATCTCATCTACTTCCTCTGAGAGTTTATCTGCTGCAGACTTATGGGAGAGTGAATCAGAGTTGGAGGAGCTATCTACTAAGCTTAAATAATCATTGTCGACAGGAACACGATGGTAAGGACTTTCATCTTCACTGAACTGGAGACTCTCTTCAGAAACAAACTGCTGTAGATTGTCACAACATGCAAAATCTTTTCCCAGACCCAGAAAATTCCGCCTTTTAGCACTTTTTAAATTCAACAGTGGTGCTTCTGGAAGCACTATGGTGTCATAGATATTGTCTTCAACAATCCTGAGCTCATCCAGACTTGAAGTAGGTGCTTCTCTACTGAGTAGTATCTCATCCCTACTAGCACGAATGGAGGCCCTGTTTTGATTTTCTGTCCTCTTCTTGGAGGGTGAATCCAAGCTGCTTTTGTTTTCAGCCTCATAGAGAGAGTCTCTAGCAGATCTCTGGGGAACACGGTCTGTCTCCTCCCTTCGTGTCAGACCCATCAGCTTTAAGTCTTCATAGCTTATATTATCATAAACATGTTCAATATCATCGATGGTCAGCTCCTCTGAAGATTCAGGATACACATTCATACTGCTCACCTCTGTTCTCTTCGCTTCCCTGCGAGAGCTGCGCTCCCCAATTTTATACCTGGCGCCAGCTGGACACGTGTTACTTTCACCAGCACTACTGGCCCGCCTAACAACTTTGTGACGAGTGGGGCTGGAAGTCTCATTTTGATGTACTACTCCCAAGTGCCAGCTGCATGGACGCCCAGAAGAACTCCTCCTCTCTCCACCAACAGTGGAACTGGCATTGGATGTAGACACTGATGGTACAAACATCTGATAATCATCTTCATCGTCTTCATTCTCATAAGGTGGACGCCGGCTGGGGAACAATGCCTGCCTGATCTGATGGTCAGTCCAGATATTTCTAATAGAGGTACTTCCCCCCAAGATATTCATGATTAGTGAGTTGCTCTGGGGTGTGCTGAATTGTCTAGGCAACTGCGGCTGTCTAGCTGTGCAGGAAAATGGAAGATCGGTATTCAATGGGGTTGACTCTTCATCTGAAGGGTCCTTGGAGCTCTGTGGAGATTTGAAATAGGCAGGTGAGGTTAGCCTATCCCCTGCAATAATACACCCTCCCTCTGTTCACAGAACTACCACTGCACAAGGGTGTCCCACAGCGTGGAGTCAGGTGGAGATGGGCAGGGTGAGCAGGCTCCTTGCTAGAGAGCGAGGGAGCCAAGGCAACCATGCAAGACTATTTTGCCCCCTTATCCTTTGCATGGCTCAGAGTTCACTCTTGGCACTTAATAATATCTTACTTCAAATACAAGATACTGGCTCGTGCTAATGCATGGGTAATTAAAGACAAATTTGTTTGGCAGGGGTTAGATTAAACCTTCTATGCTAACTCTGCAGTTTCACAATTGGATTAAGTTAATCTGACTCTGAGTTTGTGCCAAAAGTTTTGTTCTCCTCCCTTCCTCCTTGACTATAACCCTAGCAGAAAGGTATGTTATGCTCTCTAGCACATGCCACTGAAAATTTCATTGTCTTCTGGGAGTAGGTTTTCATCCAGCTCAGCCACCAGATCTAAATTACAGTAAGGCCACATGCCTGCTAATGCTAACATGAAAGATTCTGTAGATGTTCCCACCCAGAGGTTGGCAAAGAGGGAAAGATAATTCCTTCTGGCTTAAGTTAATGCTGATTCCTTAGGTTGGTTGTTTGTTTTCCCTGCCCCAAAAAAGAATAGTTTTTCATCATACAGATGAATATTTCAATGTTATGAATATTGACACGACATAAACAGAAGATGACTTATCTATCTAGGAACAACACAGATTTCCTTCACTTATTTATGATGCACAGAAAAATAGAAGTAAAAAAACAAAATTACATACCTGTGTTTCACACTTGTTGAGATTAATACTTCTCCGTTTCTCAACATTTTCAACAGCTTGACTGTTAAGTCTTTTTCTTCCCCCTTTTGATTTCTGCAGTGAGTTTTGCTGCATTCCCTGTAGCTTAAAAGAAAACAGCAAGAGAGGGGTAAATAAAATCTACAGTTCTTTGTTCAGTCTTGTTCAGAAAAATTACTAGCAGCTAGAACAGGTCAGGTATCTACACCAGGAGAACAAAATGCTCATGAGTAGTCAGAGCACCAGCACAACAATGATTCAAAGCCTAGAAAATTTTCTTTACAAATAACCAGTTAAGTTAAATCAATCCATACATCTTGTCAGAAGGGGTTGAAAGCAGAAGCTGTGTATAAAATAAAGATGTAAAAGAATACACAGAAACTGAGGGAAAGGGCTTAATTTCACAGCCAAAGTTATGACAGGAGGTGGTCTCATGAAAGTTCATTTTCCAAAGTCGTTTTTTTTTGCTTTGTTTTAAAATGGGGAGGGGATAGTCTTGCTCTCATTTGCAGTCTTGAAAACCAGAAAGAGGTCCAACTTCCCAGAATAAAAACAACATGCAAACAATCACCAGACAAACATAAGGCCAGAATATTATATGTTGAACAGTGTGCAAATTAACTCAAGAGTGAAGGGCTTGCATGGTGGGAACGGGGGCAGTCTGAGAAGGTACTGTTGCCACACATATGATTAAACAGTAAACTGCTATTATACATTTTTATAGTGGTATTCTTTTGCACTGGCTAATTCTTTTGTACTTATTCATGTCAGGAAGAGAGAAAATTACAAGACATTGCACTGATATGAGATACTATTTTACTATACACTGTCATTTCAAAGAGGACATGTGCAGTAAGCTTAAAAAAAAAAAAAAAGTAAATAATAGATTTTAGGTAATTCACAAAATAAATGGACTACACAAGGATATGATTACCTCAGCATCAACTAAGCCAAACAAACTAAAAATTTACATTCTTTATCATAGTCACATTTCAAAATTCTCATTTTCATAAATCCTACTCACAACATCCCATATTAAAGTTCAAATTCCAATCTACTACCAGCAGCTTGCAGGTCAAGAAACACCACATCATATGTGGCAGTGCCTGCATCTTAGCTTAATGTCTAAATAAAAATATTTCTAAGAAGAAAGAGTTACAAACACTTGTAACATATTCCTGCCTCCCTTAAGTTTTACAGGTAATTTGAATCCCTCTTCCATTCTCTCCAGGAAAAAAAGGGTTTTATTTTTCCCTCTCTTTTTCCTACCTGTTCAGACTCTTCTTCATCATCAGCATCAATCTGTTCTGTAGCAGAAGCCTGGAGATTTTCATCCTGATCACTGCTGTAGGCTGGCTCAATGGACTCTTGAAACTGGCTTTCCAGCCCACTGGGTTCTAAGGAAACCTTCTTCCTAGAATTCAGCAGGGTGTCATTTGATCCTAGTTTGTTGGCTTTAGATAGCAGGGCTCCTTCAATACTGATCCGCTAAGAAAATCCCCCAAAAACAACAAGAACACCACAAAACTTTGTTTAGATTTTATGGAGATTTTGTATTTTAGTAAGACATTGTTTTACATCAGCCTGAGAGGCACTGTTTAAGCTAAGTTCAGTTAGCTGCACTGAAATTAGACTTATAAAGAAGTAAGTAAAACAATCAGTATTTTTCCACAGCATATTTAGAACTGAAAAAAAAAAATATGCAAAAACCCCACCCCAATCATGGGCTTTAGTGTTATGGTATCCCAGTGAAGACATATCTAACATACCCTGTTTGTAAAAATTCCCCATACCCTCACTTAAAATTCCATCCCAGCTAAAAGCCTTGGAACCGAAATTCAACATGAGACTTTCAGACTGCATGGGGAAATTCATTACAAAGTCTTACCAAAAACGTAAAATTAGAAATGCTGATTTCCATCTGCTTAAGCTGTATCAGCTCTGTTTGGTCATATATCATGACTTAAATATATGATATATATATCAGGATAAGGTGAAACCTTCATTTAATAAATGCAAATACATGCTCCAAAGAATAAACACTACCTTTATAAACAAAACTTCCATGATTATAGTGGTATGTTAAAGTACCCTATAGTATTATGAAGTACAACCATGTACAAGTACAACCAAGAATCAGTCCTTTTTTCTTTATTGGATATTCCTGAAATAGCTGTATTTCTATTGCTTTCATTCCAATAATCTTATTCAAGATGTTAAACAACAATTATGGTTTTGTTTCCATTCTTAAATACAAGACAAGCAAGAAGATGCCAATTCTACAGTAAGTACTGTACTCAAAGTCATTTGAATGTGCTAAATCAAGCAATACAAGAACTGGCTTACCTTCTGCATGTCAGGGCTTACAGCTGAAAAGAGAAATATATACTGCATCATAAACGAATAATCAAACTGGTATCAGTCTACACCTGTTTTACTGCTACACTAGTATCCCACTTCAGAATTCCCAATGGAGGATTAAACGAAGCAGCAATTGAGCAAACAAACTACAGGGTCTCAGATAAAACAGAGGCAGCATGAGTTGCACTTGAGATCCTGATTTTGCAACACTGACATGATATGGGCAACTACTCACAATGGCCACAATGGTGTGTTCACTTACCAGTTGCTAGGCTGCTTACAGGACCAGAACCAAACGTGGAAAATACATGTTAGATGTTACAACTAACATTTGTTTTCTTTGCAAACTTTGTGTCCCCTCCCCGACAACGTGTTTAAGGGAAGATATAGGAGGAAGGGAGCCATTTGTATTTGTTCTACAAAGGACAGAAACACTATGTAAATAAACAGAAGACAGAGTAGCTTACCATTTGACTTCAAAACTTTATGGACTCTAGATGAGGGTTCTGAAAAAGACAACAACATGTTTAAGCACTTCAGCATTCCAAAGAAAATCACAGGTACCTTGGACAACTTTTTATAACATGAGTACTAAAATTTAAGCTTCTGAGGCCCTGCAGGGAAGCTAGATTTTCATTTCTTTATCACCCAGTTTCCTCACAAATAAAGTATTTTTTGATGTGTCAAACCAACAGCTGTTACTAAAAACCATAAGTGTTTCTCAATGCAATAGCAGCTGCCCTCCATACAGCAAGCCACACATACATTTTCATCCCATGTTAAGATTTCTGCTTTAAAAAAACTTGGTCATCTCTGTTACTGTTCTAAGTTGCTGGAGGTTTCCTATTAGAAATATGAATGAGGTACCAACAGCTTAGCAGGGCTTTAACAGCATAAATAGCTGAGTGTTACACAGGAGGCCATTTGATCAGTATTTTGTACTATTTCATTTACAGGCAAAGCAGCACCAATGCAATTTTTCACCTCAGGAACAAAAGGAAGATGCCTGAAAAGTAATTGTTTTTAATTTTTTTTTCAAACACAGGTGCTGCTGTCCAACAAATCACTATGTCAATACTCTAATGAATCTTGTTTAAGTCATTCCCAGTATACAATGCTACACATTCCATATTAGAAAGATCCTTAAGTACCTGAAGAGAGGAACACAGTGACTGCAATATGAAAACACCTATATACAGAGACATTTGTAGTGGCTTCAAGAGGAAACTAACAGTACTTATGGATGTACGTTTGAGCTAAGAGAAAAAAAAACAACAACCCAAAAGTCAGCTCAACTAACTCTCAAATCTCTATTATCCATAAGACAAACATTACACTAAGTGATGGTAGTAATTATGTTTTAGTCTATCACAATCATGATGGAGCCGTTTCTGAGACACTAATTACCTAGGGTGTAGGGGTAGAAATGTCAGATTTAAATAATGTGACTGGCTTTCCTGCATATGCATTCTTTCATCCATTAGAAAGTACCAACTGTTCTTTACACATCCATGACTAGAAATGCATATCCATGAAATTAAATGCAAACAGTGGATTAAAAAAACCCAACACATACAAAACCAGATGTTTAATAAGATACTCCACCCACACCTGAAAGTTACTGTGCCATGCTAAAGCTGTGTGGAGTACCAGCTAAGGACCAATTGCAGGTGCCCAGCCTCACCCAACTCTAAATACCCCCATTTTCTCTCTTGTCATCTTGGTGGTAAAGGAGTTTATTCACCTGATTTCCTTCTCACTCTGTGAGGAGCACTGCCTTCTTTAGGCTGGTATGAAGATTTAATTTCTCCCTCAGGGCTATAGTGGAAGCCTGGGTGATCTGTGGAACAAGCAGAGGCACAAGGAATAAGAGAGTGACAAGGATGTAACTTCACGTGCCTCTGCAGCTCTCTTCAGAGGCAGTGCCACCATCCCATTATTACTGACAAAGTGGCATTTCATCAGAGCCTGAAGCAACACAAGCAACGTGGTGCGCTGCTGTAGGGTAGTTGTTAACCACCCAGCCCATTTGGTTTGTGCCTTGCTCCAGATGGCTAACCCTACAACATTAATGCACTATTATAATCCTTAATTATTTGCCAGTTTCTCAGTCAAAGCCCTCTTGACTGATACAACTACATAAGAAAAAAACAAGCCTACCTTACTCTAACACTTCCTCAGCATTTATATCATAGGAGTATTGTTCTCGTTTCCCTATACTGCTAGGGATCACTGGTAACATGAAGAGCTAAGGCAGCTTGCACCAGCAGAGGCAGCAAGGAGAGGTGCAGCAGCAGGGACAGAGCAGATGAGATCACACTCTGAGCGCAGGCAGCAGCACCACACACGCTGTCTAGCCCTGGATCCTGAAACACGCACAGGTATAACCCCTAAAACACAAGCATGTTCCGGGGCAGTTCTGCAGGCGCAGTTGCTTTCTGCTATAGCCAGGAGAGGAGCTGCCACGCTAAAGGGCTGCAAATAATGGAGGAGAGCCAGAGCAGGCAGCTTTGCAGAGCAGCCTTCTTTCCCTTCCAGAGGGGCCGTGCACAGCGCAGGGACCCGCCTGCTGCTTCCCTCGCTGCCCTCCAGCTGCAGGTGTGCCAGACAGGTAAGGCATAACACTGCTGCACGCTTCAAGCTGCACTTGCTTATTGCTAGCCCTTCAGTGGGTCCTAACCAGATTGAGCTTACGGTACAAAATGGGAAAGATCATACGTTTAGTCAGCATGAAATAAGCAAAAGAGGGTGGCCAGAGGTTACAAAAGGCCTAATCTGTTTCTTCCTTGCTTACCATGTGACATAACTTGTTGGTTGCTGATCAGTCAGCCAAATGCCTAGAGAACTCCTCAGGATCTGCACCCAATTTTAGTTTTTCCAGCAAGGTTTTAACTCAAGGAACATAAGCCTCGCCTTCTTTCATCTCAGATGAAACCAGCAGTTAAAACTAGACTTCTTAGGATGGTTTTATTAATTTTTAAATGAAAGTGGAAAAAGAACCAACTTACGTATGGCATCCATTTCTAGAATTGCCTGTTTGGCCTGAAAGAGAAACACAACAAATTAAAAAGTTAAACTATAAATAGAAGGACAAATTGCATTGCATATTACAGACAGGAGTGAGTTTATATGTAAACACAAGCAAGTTTGATTTTTTAACTACTGAACATAGTTAGCAGCATTACTTTCTTTCTTTCTCTGTGTGCTGGACACGTTACACACCTGAAGAAGAATTTTGCTGGCAGGAGCTTACCAGAGCTTCACACAAACCCTGCTGTTCATGGCACCCAGCAACTCTGCCTTGCATGCCCACCTGCCCTCCTGGAAACCCAAGGAGGAGAAGCACATCCCTGAGGCATCAGAGGTACTTCTGGAGGGTGGAGTGATGGCACATCTGACTGCAAAAACTACTTTGGTATCAAAGATAGGGGCTGTGCTGTGCTGAGATCCTGCTGCACATGCTAGGTGTCCGGAGGTTTGTTTCCCCCAAGGAGGACACCCGTCGATACATCTCTCTGTATTGCTGGGATTGGCACAAACTGGGCCCTAGTGTCTGGGAACAACAAGTCTTTTTGTGATTCACAGAAAATTTCCTCCCTAAAAATAAAATAGTTTAACTCCTTACTTATTTTTGAATTCTGAAGTTGTCACAGAAGACACTATCAACCTCGCTTCCTTTTAGAGTTTCCTTTAAGAGTTTCCTTGAGGAACAGCTATTAAAATAAACCATTATTCAGTTTATGATAGAACCAGGATCAAAAGCATCTCAGGACTGCTTAAAATTTGTGACTTTTTTTTTTTTTTTTATAGGAAAAAGAATAAACTAAAAAAAAATAATAATTACATAACCTGCTTGCCCTTCTGCAGGTGCAGTTCAGTAATTATCCACCAGGTGTCATATGTGGACTACTTTGAAATCCTCCAAAATCTGGGCAGAGAAGTCTCACAACTAGCAACTACTGGTTTGTCAAAAAAATAAAAGAAAAATAATATTGATGCTAAAGCTGAGATCATGCTGCAACATTTGTTTTTACAACTTAATAAACTGCAATGAGCATTTACATTTTAAGCACAGATACTAGCATAAACATTATACGTTTGATAAACTCGGTCAACAAAAAGGAAAGAATTAGTAATAGCAATTGCTAGAGATTCTTCTCCCATAATTCTATTTTTTGTTGAAAATGGGAGTTACTACAGCACTGTGTATGCCAGTCACAGGTGCAATTCCTTAGTCATAAAATTCAGTGGAAAAAAAAGTCAATGAAACTGATCAGTGAAGGCCAAAAGAAACCAGTAAAATTAAAAAAAAAAAAAAAAAAAAAAAAAAAGAGAAGAAAAAATCCAGCTTCCACATGAGTCAGTGGCTGCTGTGTCATGGCAAGAATTAACCAGGGTTACCAGCCTTTGAGAAGTGCAATATGTTATATTGGGAAACATCGCCTGGAGCTCTAAGACAGGATTTAATAAATAAAAGGACCGGGTTTCCCGACTCTTAGACATTACAGCTATGAACATGATCTCGGTGCCTCATTTTCTCTGGCATAAAGCTTGCCAGCTGTCTCACCAAAAAGGGCTCAGATGTCATGGCTAAAGATGAGGGTTCAGGATGGCTGTGTGTGTAAAGGTGAAGTGTGTGGCTAATGGCTTCACTGCTGTGATACCTCACCAAGATAGATTAAAACTAGCTTGGTAGTGTTGGCACATCCTGCAATTAGTGCTTCTTGGTGTTGTGCAGACAGGCAGTATGAAGCCAAGGTATGCTCTTACAGTGAAGCTTATTGATATTGCATCTGTTACTCACATCTTAGCAGGCAAATCCTCATGTGGACAGCAATGCTGCTAACCCACTTAAATTCTACTCCTGTACCAAGCTCAGCAGCTGCTTTTAATGGAACCACCCCATTAATTTTGAGGAACTTTTAAACACATAAGGACACAACATGTTAATTAATCTCCTGGTGTCTAAACTTTCTGTAAATTGCCATGCATCCTGCAGCTAACAAGATTGCTTTAAGCCAAACGCACATACAAGGAGGTGGTGAGCTTTTTTAAATTTTTACCTTGGCAGGAATTTTAGCAGGATGGTTTTCTAGAATTAATCTCTTCAAGTGAAGAATCCAAAGTCGCTTGTCTTGCTGTGACTTTGCCTGATAAAAAAAATTGTAGCACTGTGAAAAAATGCATTACTGCACTACACAAGCTCAGGAATAGCTGGCAGTTGTTAGTCAGGTTACCCAGAAGGCAGGGAGGCTTCTGTCATACCTGGACAGTATGTTGCATCTTGGGATTTTTGTAGTGGAAGACGCTAAAACTAAGTGGTTCCTTTGGTATTACTTCAACAAGCATGAGATTCCCACACTGTAACAAAGAGAGGCAACAATGTGAGTCATGAGGGATTTTCATGGAGACCCGGAGTCAGCAGATGACCACCTGCTCTCCCACATACCAATATGTGAGCTTTGTATACAAACATCTCATCTCTCTTTTTTGTAATTAGCAGCAGCTTGTCGAAGAGGAACAACGTGCGCTCATTTTTGGCTCTCTGGATGCGGAATGTTCCTTCTAACACCAGCTCCCCGTAACTCGTGAGGTCTGGCCCTTTCCAGTTGGTGAGCAAACTCTGTATCTCCTGCAACAGATCAAAGAAGAACAACCAACATTCATTTCAGATCATACTTAAAGACTCAAACAAGAACTGCTAAGGCCATTCCCACTCATTTATATGAAGTTCAGCATCTGACCGTGTAAAGTCACCATACACTGCTACTGAGGTCGCTAGGTTAAGTGCAACATCGCAGCCAGATGCTCGGAGGCCTGTTGCAAAGCCCTGACTAAAACACACCTCCAGAGTACTGGTTAACCCTGTATGAACCCAGCAAAAAGCCCAGAGCTCCTCAGGACAGCCTGCGGTGAAAGAGCACAACTTCTTCTCCCTGGAATCACAGCAATGGAGAATGGTCTGTAACTCAGTCATGAGACTTTTCTTGTGCCTGCTCCCCCCTTCCTTCTATGTCCCTAAACAATTTCTGTTAACTTTTCTCTCAGCCTGTGTATCCTCCCGAAGTCGTGTGGTCCTGCTCTGGATCAATCATAATGCCATCTGTATGTCCTGTAGGCCCATCACAGAAGACACCTCTGTGAAGTGTCCATATTGAAGAGATGTTTCTCAGAAGACTAAAAGGCCAGAATGATCTGGTAAACTGATACTTTGAAGATGCCAAGATCTATTTGTATTTATAATTATTTGTATACATACCATAGGTATTTCTCATCTTAAATAATACTTAAGAAAAAAAAAAAGGCTGAAGAAACATCTAAGAACATCATCAAAAGTCTGTGTTACTTAACCATGGCTATTCTTGTTCCCTTCGGTTGCTTGTTTTTTCTTTCAGTGGCAATGATATAGCACATGAGAATAGCACAGCAAATCATAAATGCAGATTAAACCTTAAGTAGAGAAATCTTTAAAAACATCCACCAGACTTTAAGCCTGGCAGCATTAGCAAGCAGGAACAGATTTCTTCATCCTAGGCTGGTCTCTAGGACATCACACTTTAATACAGCATTCAGCTAGAAAACATCTCAGTACATCTGATGCACAAACGCAGCCAAGAGCATTCATAGGAAGAAAATCCAAAAGCAGCACACACACAAAAATAAAGAGGACAAATTAAAAAAAAAATCATATTATCAGGTCTATCTATAATATTGTAAATAAGTCTAGGTACAGAGCACAGGGATCATGTCCACCATTGCTGAGGGAGACTCTGACAGGAACTGCTGCAGCAGTACTTGTAGCATTACAGACCAAATGGCAGTGCGATAGCCCACAGAAGACCTATCTTCATGGCTGCAGAAACATTTTACTTTTTAAAAGGCTAAGTATGAACACAAACATTTTCCACAACCCCATACATTTGCCAGCTGAGCCAAATAAATTACTTTAAAATAAATTTAAAAAACCAACAAAAACACACCCCACACTTTTTCAAAAGCCTTTAACCCTCTTTGTTGCCAAATATTACTGGTTAACATTACTCAGATTTATAGCAGACTGTAGGTAAGTCATTAGCATGCATTTCCAGCTATGTGTGGCAAAGGTTACAGAGCTGCAGGCAAGACATTATCAAATGTAACCCTATTCTTCCTACACAAACAACAAAAAAATCCCACAAAAATCAGGGCCAATAAGGAACCACTTATTTTTAAAGAAACAAAGGGACAACAAATAACATGACATAGATTTCTGGAATGGTATAATCCTATTACTCCCTTTTATAAACAAAAAAATCCCCCTAATTTACTTAAAAGCAATATAAATACTGCTAATGAAAATGTAATGTCAAATCGTGATTCACTGGGAATTTTGAAATAGAATGATCATTCTGTAAAATGTCTGCAAAATAGCTTGCTCTTGATGCCAAAAGTTACTCAGGGCATACCTTTTGTTTTCTCCTAAAAAAATTCTTCATTCGTAGAGACTTTTACCTTGTTCTAACTATCACATTTCTAGGTTTATACGTCTCACAAAGCGACTGATAATGAGTCTAAGAGGAAAATACTAAGCCTAAGAGGAAAATACTTAAACAAGAAGAAGCACAAGAAATGCCTCAAAACAAAATTAATCAGCACAAAGGGGAGAAATCGGAAACCACAGGATTTCTGAACAAAGCCATGCCCTAGGGTTGTACAGCAGTGCTGTACAATTGAGGGAAAGGAAGAAAGGAAAGTTATCTTAAGTTCCATATTACTGCAAAATAAATGCTTTACAGGATGCTGCTTGTAGGGCAGAGATGTCTGAGATTTTCCTGCAGCAGCTATGACCAAGATCAAACAGCCACAGGCATACTCAACAAGAGTCTAAATTATGACTGACAAAGATTAAAAGAAAAGATAAACTAGAAAACATTATTGCCATATATCTTCACAAAAACAGCTCACAAACACCCATATGAACTCTTTGGGAACTCACTTGGAGCCTGATGGCATGTTCATGTTTCCTCTTCATGTCATTTATATGCCACGCCACTCTCTGCATCGTATCTATGGCATCCAGCACCACATCATAGCCCTCAGTGTCCTTGTCAAGGTGGTTTTCTATTTCCTAAAACAGGGAAAAAAGTTCTGTTATTCCTAAGTTAATTTTCCCAGCCAGGTGCAATATTATATTTTTATCTGTACTATGTTGTCTTTGCATTGCAATCACTCAAATGCAACATTCCTGCCTTTGTTACTATTGCATGTCATTATCAACTTGATTAATACAAGACAACTAACAAAGCCAAGCCTTTATGGTCAGTTTAGCAGCAACTATACTTGAGGCAGCTGATGTGAGCAGAGAGGCACAGGAGAGTGCAGCATGCTGACAGGAAACCTTTTCAGACAATGTTTAATGGCTTTCTTAAAACACAGAACATATCTACAAACTCAGAATACCCTGGGCATTACTTTACAGTTGGAGAGCAGAAAAGCACCAGACATTTAAAATAAGAATCAGTGTCTTTACACTTCACTAGAACATGATTCTCTAATAGGAAACATATGTGGAAAACATTAACAATAAAGCAGGAATTTCTGAAACTTGCTTAATTCAATTCAATGAACATGGAAAGAGTTCCCGCTTCCTCAGTCATTTCTCTCCACAAAATTCTTACCAAGTGTGGTGTTTATATGTACTTAGTTCTTCTTTCAGTCACCTCCAGCATTGCAACATATGGAAAAATGCTGTATTTCATTGGAACCATAGTTTTGTGTACAAAAGTGTTTGATCATGAAAATAATCTTCCAAACAACTTCAGGATTACAGACAAGGTTTGTTTGTTTTGTTTGTTTTTTGTTTTTTTTTGTTTTTGTTTGGTTGTTTTAGTTTTGTTTGGGGTTTTTGTTGTTGTTTTGGTTTTGTTGTTGTTGTTTGTTTTTAAAGCTAAGTATTTGGATGTATATACTGACTCAATGCTTCTAAAATAATTACCAAAAATTTTCACTCCATATATATACGTATGCTTTGAAATGACGAAAGCAGAAATAGTCTCAATACGTCAAAAACAAACACCCCCAAAAGAAAAGCATCAAAAGAAACCCAGAACCTTTCTAATCATCAAGTCTTGTGCCAGAGGCAGGAACTTTGACGTGCAACAGCCCTAAATGAAATATATTTGTAATGGGTGCTCACGTGCAAAAGCAGGTGGTACTTGAGGATGCGCTGGACAGGTTTCAAGAGATAGGAGCCCAGGGGCAGAGAATGTTGCAGCACTTCTTGCCGCTCCCTGAAGAACTTGGCCAGTGTCTTGTTCCTCATGCACTCTGTCAACACAGCCACGGACCTGGAAATATCAACACGTAGCTTTAAGACATGGCATCACTGTAAGTCTGTAGGCAAAGTCAGGAATTGTTACTTTCTTCCCTTGTAAAAGGGGACAGCAGGCTCCTAATCAAATCACTGCTGGGGATGAGGGGGATTTTTTGTTGTATGTTGGTTTTGTTTTGTTTTGTTTTAAGATATGCTGTGAATTCAGTTGTATTTTCCTTTGACATGCAACCATTCTTAGTGGGAATCATGTATTTTGAGCAATGCAGAATAAGACCATAATTTTCTAAAGGACAATTAATGACAAAGAAAGACAAGAGTAGCCAGAATAAAGTTTCAGATTATGATTTTTTAAATATATATATTTTTAAAAAAAAAAAAAAAAAAAAGGTAAATTCCTTTACTGTCACTCCAACTGTGAGAAGGGAAAGGGTAAAATTTTTGGTATAGATTGTAACTTGCATTACATAGGCAGGTGAAGAGACAAACAAACAAAGGGAACCCAGGATCCCTACCTTGGGTAGTTGGTGCAGTACTGTGTATATATGTGGAAATCTTCACTCTGCATGGGGAGAAAAGGTTTACATACATTCAGGTTTTGCCACACTAGCAGCTAACACGTGCAAGATAAAGATGATGACATCAAGACAATGCCTCCTCCAGTTCCTGATCAATTAATTCACTCTGATAGACCTAACACTGCCACAGACCTACTAACTGAATTGCATTTTTCCTTCTTTCGGAGATTTCCCCTTTACTTGAAAGAAAAAGCAAGAAAACCTACACAGAGTTTTAAAAGCAAGCAGCTTTGCAATAGAGCCTCCAAGATCCTTTGTGACAATCTATGCATCTTAAAAAAAAAAAAACCCACGATAAAAGAAAACCTCAAATCACCAACACAGCCCCACCTTCAAACAATTTAATTGTACATACCTAGTTTTGTGTATGCTAATGCACACACCTGCTTATGGGGAGAAGTACATTTTGCAGGTTATGTTCAGTGGAAGATTTTAAAAACAACTATAAATACTTCCACATTTCAGCACTAAGTGAAAATTAGAAGCCTCGAAAGAGATTTTTTTAAAAAAAGTAAATTATGACTGTGAAAGCAGACAGTTATTACCCATACAAGTTGTAACTAGATTTAGGTGGGTTTCCACACTTGCCTGTTATAGTAAAATTATCCACATCAATGTTGACAAGATTCTCAGAGCCAAAGCCTGAGTTTCATTTCTTTCCTCCTTGGATTAAAATTTTTTTCATAATCATGCAAGCTAACTCTATGCAAGAACAGGTTGTCAGAAACATTCCCATGTCCTTTAAACTCACATCTGCCGATCGACTTCTATGCCAAGTAAGATGGCATTTCTGCAGCTTGTTGGAGTCCTAAAGACTAAGAAAGCACTGCAGAACTGCAAAGTTACTACTTCTTTTCTGAGCCTTAGACCAATAAAAAGCAATTTTTTTTATAGTAAACAAGATCCCAATTTCCACTTGAAGCATCTTCAGAAGAACTCTAGCATTCTACACACAATAGCTGTGCTCTGCAAGGGGTAGTTGTTGGTGAATGGCAAGACCAAGTATCTGCTTTCACAGAAGTCAATAGCACTCTGAAGAGCAGCACGACCTGGGGAGAGGGCTGATGCAGACTGTGGCATTTGTTTCTCATTGTTGGAGGGTTTTTTGGCTATTCATCAGAAAGAGCTGGCTCAGGCAGTACTCTTCCCCATTTCTAACAGTACTGCTCCCTTTCCCCTCTCACAGGGGTAAAGCAGATGGTGCCATTCATTTTTCTAGGGAGTGGTGACTCATAAGGACCCTGTATAAAGTCAGGTATTACTCTACACAAGTACAAGCCACTGCAATTCATTTCAGTGCTTCATACTGAATTTCAGTGTTAACTGTTCCATAAAAAAGAAATAACTCAAGCAAACTTCTGGTGTTTCTCTCTAGAGGACTGCAACCCTCATTGACTCATTAGTGGGTTGCAAGTTTACTAAAATGCTCTTCGCATAGGAACCAACCAACCAACTAAATGTAGTCTTGATACAAATACAGTTAAACAATTTAGCTTGATTTTTGATGCTTGGACTAATTTTGCTGTCACAGCTAGTTTTTACAGTAGCAAGACATACGCCTCATGTCCCTACCCAAAGACAGCAAGCTTGTGTCACAGACTACTCATGTCTAAACTTGGGACTTCTGGCCACAGCTGCAAGCCCTCTCTGCTCAGAATTAGGAATTAACCAATACCAGAGAACTGCAGACATGACACTGTAATTTTCTACAGCAATCACTCCTAAAATAGCTGGCAGTTGCAATGAGTCAGCTTAAGAGAGAGCATTAGGATGAAATTCAGTATGATGAAAAAAGGTGATTTATTTTATATATACATATATTAATACAAGTTTTTCATTTAGGAGCTTTTGGTATATATTGTATATTCCCATAGCTAAAACACAGAATAATGCAATATACGGACCTATTTCATAAGCACAGTGCAGAACATTCATGTCAATGTATTTAATATATATGTATTCTGCTCATAGTCACAAGATTGCTCTGCTTTTCAAACAAAAAGGAAAATATTTTTTGTTGTGAAATTTTAACAAATTAAAGCATTAGCTGTAAAACAAACAAGGCCTAACAATTCAGGGTTTCAGAGTGGACTGAGTGCACATTCCCCACAAAATCAAAAGCAAGTCTGAAATCCCCAGGAGCCTTTCCACACTCTCCCTCTTTGTTTTGGTTTTTGGGTTTGTTTTTTACACAAGTCAAAATTAATGTCAATAGGATTTTTGGGTTTAGAATAATTTTTGTCTAGCTATTAACTTGTGTTAAAAAAAAAGGTAGTTTCTCAAGCCTTCAACACCTCTGAAAACTTTAACAATGATTTCACAATCATCCCTGCTTTCTGAACAGACACAATACCAAATTTCATACTGCCTTTACATGTGTACTCAATTTGTTGTACCAGAGCTCATTTCATCATATAAAACAATCATATAAAACAAGAGAGCACTTTTCACAGAATCACAGAATTGTCATTGTCGGAAGGGATCTCTAGAGATCACCTAGTCCAACTCCCCTGCTAAAGCTGGATCACCTAGAGCACATCACACAGGAACGCATCCAGGCAGGACTTGAACATCTCCAGAGAAGGAGACTCCACAACCCTTCCGGGCAGCCTGTTCCAGTGCTTTGTCATCTTTACCATGAAGAAGTTTTCCCTCATGTTCAGATGGAATTTCCTGTGCTCCAGTTTATGCTCATTGCCCCTTTTCCTATTCCTAGGCACTACTGAAAGTAGTCTGACTCCATCCTCCTTACGCTCGCCCTTTAGATATTTATAGGCATTAATAAGGTTTCTCCTCAGCCTTCTCTTCTCCAGACTAAAGATTCCAGCTCTTTTAACCTTTCCTCAAAAGAGAGATGTTCCAGTCCTCAAATCCTCTTTGCTATTTGTTTAACTGAGACCACTTCCATTTATTGAGCTGTATGAGCGTAAAACCAGTAGAAAGTCAATTTTGTGTATTTTTCCTCCAGAATGGGACTTGATATGCATTCAGAGTGACAAAGCCAGTGGGAATCAACATCACACACCCTGCCTGAGCATGAGCAGGATTCACATGAGCACACTGGAGGAGTGTCCAGGAGAGCCCCTTCCCAGAGAGACACTTCCATGCCCCCGGGAAGGCACACCACTGGGGACGGCCGTTCCCCCACTGCCTGAATGGTTACCCAGCCCCTCTGCATGGTCCAAGAAAGGACTTTGAGTTCGCACACCCATCCAGTCTTCTCTGCTTCACAGCAGACTCCCCAGAGAAAGCCCTTTCTTACTGGCAGTGGAGCAGAGTACAAACCAGGCAGGCTAAAGCAGATGCTGTGAACTATGTTCAGAAGCAACTGAAAAACCAGGACTAAGATAGATTGAATATATTTCTATCAATACTTTCACACTGTAAGTGAAATGCCAGCTATGCTCATCAGTATTTCTGTGGACATTCTTCAGCCTACTCAGCTCAAATGCTTTATTCACCTCAACTGTCTTCAAACCAGTTTTAAAATTATCTCTGCAGGGAGACTGGAATCGCTCCAGAGATCACTTTTAACCTGGGGTCCCAAAGCTATTGTGGTAGAAGGTGCAGAAACTGAGACCCAAGCTGAAAGTTCATCCACAGTGACCAGTCACTCCCAAGAGCAACCCAAGCACAATCAGATCCCAGCTATACTTAGCTTATCCCCTGCCGCTCAATTAATTCACTGCATGTCTCCTCCACATAAAGTGAAGTGCCAAGCATGTGGCTACATCCCCAGTCTTTTCTCAACTCTTGGTGCACTGTGCTTTTTTAAAAGCCATAAAAGGCATTTTAAAAGAAAATGGAGACTGAGAAAATGAGCTGAGTCAGAGCGTAAACTGAAGCCAATTGCCTGGATCCCCTCTTCATTAATGAGATGGTAGATTAGAGTAATTCTCCCTTTTCCTTTGGTTAAGCTGTTGCTATGTCTTTCAGAAAACATATGCTCTGGATTTCTGGGGTGCTGAGTGAGTAGAGCAACGTGCCAGAATTAAACTCTCCTTTACAACAAGTCACTTAAATGTAAACGTGTAGAATACTGAAGTCAGTATTTTAATTAACATTGGCATCATTAGTATGACAATGAAAGACTGAGTTGGCAAGAAAACTTACAATCTTTTATGTGAACAATTAAGCTATAGCTAAGCTTGCACTGGAACCCTTTTATCAGCCTGCAATTGCAGTTACCAGCAAAGTGTCTCCAAGATGTTTAATGTACTAGAGTTAATACAGTTCTTAATCTAAAAAAGGCAGGACCAGAGCTGATAGAAACTAAACTAGTACATCGCTATCCTCAGTGGCAGGTTTTTTCCATGCAGTAGCCATCCCACTCTGTTAAAAAAAATGCCATCTGCATCTTGGAGCAGAAAGGTAAAGGCAGCAATTCATAACTAGACAGCAGGTTTTTTAAAAGTGTGGTTTTCTGCATTTGTGACTATTTTCCTGTGAGTTATTAATGAATTAAATATCTGGAAGCAGAGGGATCTAATACAATGGTGTAGATTATTATTAAATATGTATATAAAGTCACAGTTTTGCATTTTTATTTTATCTGTTAGTGAGTTTTATGTTACTGGCTAGCTTACACTAGCTTACATCTTGCTGAAGTCTGTTAACAAATAAAAGCTGCCTTTTTAGGAGCTATTTACTTTGGGCACTCATCACAGCAAATGCTAAGATAAAGATTCAATAAGAGTTTTATTCAAAGTGCACTAATGGGATTTGATAATCCTTACAGTATTTCCCTTAAAAGTAAAAGCTGCAAGGCTGTTTACTACTTAAGGACAAAAGTTACACACAGGAAATGATGTATGATTGTGTGAGGGAAGTATAATGTTTTATTGAGCAAAACCAAATAACAAAGTGAAGTTCAAAGAAACAGTCTATCAAATGCAGTCCAAAACTGGAACTTAAAAAATTAAGCTCCCTAGATGTTTTCACAAATATCAAACATTTTACTTCCAACACACTCCAGAGTAACTTTAACCATAACTATTCTACATGCAAACCTTTGTCTCATTTCACATGAATCCTGAAGAAAGAACTGGCTATAGTTTGCTTTATGCAGTTACTGAGCTTCATGAAATGCAAAAAAAAAGTAATCACAACACCAACAGTGAAAACTTGATTATACGTTTAAATTCCAACAACCACGTTATTCACAACTGAACCAGTAGGGTGAAAAAAATAGCCATTAAAGCCAGAGCTCAGGTAACCTAAGCACAGTTCCATTGGAAGCATTGAAGATGCTCCAGCAGTGCTACATCCATTAGCTAAAGCTGTGAGGTATGACTTGAGCATGATATTATCCCCATGCTTAACTCACAGTGAAGATCTAGCAGATTTCAAGCAATCAAACAATAAATGGCCACAGTCCCATAATACTTGAAGGGCCATGTACTGCCAAAAAAGGCATCTTTATTTCCACTACTCAATGCTAGGAAGACACAAGCAACCAAGAATGGACAACTGGAGTCTGTTAAGACAGTCAGCAGTTGCTGTAATGACATCTTCATGGCTAAAACCAGAACTGTGGGGTATTTTGGTATTGTTTGATTTTGCTTTTAAGTGTTTGCACTTGTCTGGATGAAGCTAAAAAATGCTTGTTAGAATTGCAATCTCCAGCAATTTCTGAGCCATCAGGCAGTTGCCTGCCAATAATACATTTGACAAACGAACAAAAGCACAAGCAATGATATGCAGATGGATTTTGGGACTAATGGCTAGAAAGTCTACCAGAAAACTCCTTTCAGCTGGCCAATATGAATGAGAGTGCAACTTTTTCCCAGACTTGCTATTATCACTTGCAGCACCTCGGTTTCCTGTCCCAGCCAGGAGCAGTCCCAGCGGTCCCAGCTAGAAGCAAGCAATACATCAGAAAGATCTACCAGCTCCAAACTGTGGTATCTATGTCCTGAAGGCCTCATAATTGGCTTTCACTGCATGGATACTCTGCTGACTTATGCTCAACTTCTTTTCTGCCAGCACCCCAGATCTGTTCTTGCTAATCTGTTTCCTAGTCAGCCAGACCCAGCATGCACATGGGGTTATTCTGTTCCAGAAGCAGGACTTTGTGCTTGCTCTTATCCCAGTTTCTCTCCTTCAATTCAATATAGGCTATTTGGAGTGATAACAACATGCCATAAACCCCACTGAAAGATGGAAAAAAAAATCCTACTTTTGTAGTAGTGGTGCCAACACTAAGATCCCTCAGTGCTTACAAAAGATCAATTACTAGATAAATAACAACTTTCTCAAACCCAACTCAAGCAACTGATCCAGTGAAACAGCAGCACTAAGATGGCATCATCAGTCCCCTTTACAATAAAATCCCTTTTGTCACAACAGTGATAAACAAATTACTGAACCACCATGAGAAGGTGGTCCAGCTAATCCTAAATCCTTGTATTAGACCTATCACATTGAATGCTTGGCGCTGACAATGCTTGGCGTTAAGCACAAAGTATGAGACAGGGTTTGGCTTTTAATTTGTGTAGTTGTGTTTTGGGTTTCTTGGTTTTTTGTGGGGATTTTGTTGTTTGGGGGTTTTTTTATAGAAAAAGGCAAACACACCTACAGAGGTATTATCCAAATTTAAACAACTACATGCCGCCTCCTTTGCTGAGCTTCCCCCCAAAATACTATGAAGATGGCATTATTTCTTAACACATTTGGACTCTACAAATTCAGGGCATATATAGGTCCTCTGGTGAAATCTACAATGAACTAGAGTAATCTGTAGCCCAAATTACTTAATCTCTTGTTGTCCTGCCTATTACAGCCACTCTTCCCTGACTGGCTCTTTTGGTTTCCTACAATGAAGGACACCTACTTTGGTTCTCCGTATTTCTCCTTCACCTAACAACTTCATCTCCATACAGTTTTGGCCTCAGTATTGTCCAACAGAAAAAAGATGTCAGATCAGTGCCCAGAATATTTGAAGTATTTCAGAGAAAATGAGATTTTAATCTTAAGGCTAGACTTTGGGCCATCCTCTTTAAAAAGAAAATTAAAGGCATGGCTGCTGGATTCAGGAAAAAAATGGATCTCAGAAAACAATACAGGGCAACAAAGGTGATTGGGGGTTTGGAGCATCTCCCTTATGAGGAAAAGCTGAGAGAACTGGGACTTTTTAGCCTGGAGAAGGCTGAGAGGAGACCTTATTTAATGCCTATAAGTAACTAAAGGATGGTTGAAAGGAGGATGGAGCCAGGCTCTTCTCAGTAGTACCCAGTGACAGGACGAGGGGCAACAGGCACAAGCTGGAACATAGGAAGTTCCATTTAAATATGAGGAAAAACTTCTTTACTATGAGGGTGACAGAGCGCTGGAACTGGCTGCCCAGTGAGGTTGTGGAGTCTCTTTCTCTGGAGATATGTAAAACTCACCTGGATGCGTTCCTGTGTGATGTGCTCTAGGGGATCCTGCTTTAGCAGAGGCCTTGGACTAGATGATCTCTAGAGATCCCTTCCAACTCTGACAATTCCACGATTCCATGATATGGCCACAAGTATGTTACAGTTACTGCCTTTTCTAAAAACACAGCCAAATTGTAATCTCTTGCTGTTTTTAAAGCTGTCAAGGCATAACTAGCGTACCACTTGATCATTTGTTTTAAAAAAGGAGGAAAAAAAGAATTCCTGTCATACTGTAAAAAACCCCCCATATATCTAAAAATGAACTCTAGATCAACAGCTCCTCCAGTTCACAGAGAGTTACTGAAGAAAACAACACCTTTTTTCCTATTTTTGAAAAATGCAAATCAGACGCATATCCCTGCTACCTACGAAGAGAAATTCCTTCCCTTTCCATAGATTTGCTAACTGTTCTTCGTTGCAGTCACACAAGCTATCAGAATTAGGTCTCAAAAGCTAATACATTAGTTATTCCCCCATATCACCCTGCAACATGTGTTGCACTCCTGCTGTAGCCACTTACCTTGGAAACAAAACAGTCTGCTATAGCTACAGGATCATTTTCACAGTTTTCCAAATCTTGTAGAAGTTCACTAAAACAAAGAACAGGAAAAGGAAAGACAATTATGGCACACCTTGGAATAGACACACCTATATATTCAGAGCCAGACAGTACTTCATCATTCATGGCAGTGATGCACAAAGCATTTGACAACACAGGGAGTCCTAAAGGAAACAAGAACCCCTTTGATGCCCCTCTTCCCATTAGATGTATAGCTGCTGGGTTTTTTTGTTTGGAGGCAGAGAACTCTAAGGAAATGGCATTCCCACATACTTAAAAATTCAACTAATCAGAATGATGATGGATGCTGATCTCCTAAGAAAAGTCCAGCCCCTTCCTTCATATTGACAGCTCTTATACGATACTCATAGTGGGGTAGTCAGACAGTTGAGTAGCTTGTATTTCAACTAACACACTTTAAAACCAACAAAATATAAAAGATAGTGAAGCACATGCCCTGTCCTGTGTGTTTTTTGAGTTTTATGTGATAGATGGAGATGAGGAGCTGGTCTGAAAAACACCGATGAGAACCAGGGATGTATTACACATACAAGAAGAATGGTAATAAGCTCAACTCAGGAAAATTTCTCTACCTTTACTGCGTCTCTTCACTGAAAAAATATGGTTAGCCTGGAAGAAGTTTTCTATAAGGGAATATACAAATTCTACATGCATAAAAATAATACCTTACTGGGAGGATTTCATAATTTTGACATGCCAAGCAGGAAATGAATTCATTGTATGAGGAGCAAAGGAATAAGGGAGTATGTTCACGGTTGTATGAAACTCAGTTCTTGAAAGCCAAGTCAGTGAAAGAAATAATTCAAGCAGAAGAAAACCTCAAAGGTCTCTCCTTGATGAGAGAAGAAATTGAATTTTCTGACAAATTGTTCTCTGATAGCACTTTTCTTCCTCCCCCATCAGATGATCTTCCATACAGGGCTACTTTCCTCCCAGTTCACAGCTGGTTCCTTGAATGAGTTTTGCATAGCAGTTGCTAAGCAAGAAAAGGAGAAAACCAGATAAGTTTCCTGACCTGTTCTTTGCATCTCCAATTACTGGAGGAAGGAAGGGAGAAATCAGCAATCAGTCACAAGGAACAAAGACAGACAAAGACCTTAGGTTCAGTGGTCACTAAGCCTCTCTGCACAGCAACAATTTAACATCCACACCTCAAATTCTCCCTTAATCAAAATGGGAAAAAAAATAAATAAAAATTACCCTTGCTTGATACCCCACACTTGTGAACCTCCTTTGTAAGTGCAAAAGAAGGAAGCTGTAGCAATAGTGACCATAACCATCAGTTATAATGACTGTGTTCCTGCTGTGCAGCAGGCAGATGTTTTCCTGGTGGCTTAGAGAACATAGCACCTTGATTACTATATTATTCCTACTGGTCTCCTATAATAACACATTTTTTTTCTCCTACACGATATAGTAATGCAACATTTAAAGATTTTAGATATTCATGCAATGCATCCAAGTTTGTGCAGTGTATATGCTCGTGGCTTGCATCTTCAGCACATGCCCATAATGGAAGGGCTGTGCTTTGAAGATTTTTTTTACCTATACTGCTCTCTCTCTCCTGGCTGGTAAAAATGGGATTGGTAAGAGCAGCCTGCCTCAGCAAAAATAACAAAATTGTCATGCCCAGGAAACCTAAAAAACTTAAATAAATCCCTCTAATAACAAGCTGACCTGAAAAAGCAGGGCTATTATTATAGGCTACTTGTAAGTATGTGGCAGGAGGCAGAAGAAGCAACAGAGAAAAGCATTAGTTCCCTTCACCTGGTTATCCAGAGGTTTTATGCTGTTCACAGATGACATCACAGGTTTCAACCTCTGCAACTCACCTGTGCCAACCACCAGGCAGGAAGGGAGCACAGGGGAGCACCATTAGAGGAACTCCTTGCTCTTGCAGCTGAATCACTAACAAGACTCAGACTGAAGCAAGTGTCAGTGCTATTTAAGACTGTAAGTACTGCTTGAGGAGCTACCAGCTGGAAAAATTTGAATCTGTACAATCACCATCAAAAGCTAATGCTCACACCTTGGGGATGAGAGAGGTAAGCAATTTTTCATGCAGTGCATCCATTAACTTTTCAATTCAAATTAATAAATATCTCATTACAATGTGATTAAGGATGCTTCGATTTTTTTGGAGTATGAAGTATTTTGAAGACACTGCACCTCTCCTGTGGCTGAAGATTTTCCATAGGACAAAGTGTGGGATAATATCAAGCTGTTGACTACAAGAGCTCAAGGGGAGCGAGATAAACACATTCATAAGGTCTGCAAATAATCACCGTTTTTGCGCACACAATTCAGGGAGGGCACTTCATTTTATTCACCACTTTAAAGCAAGAGAAAAGTATTTTTCTCCTCCTTTTTGATCTGAGTTGGAATGAGAGATGGTAATGACAGGGCAACAGACAGGCAATTTTGGTGGAATAGAAGGAATGGAAAGACACAGGAAGGAAACAGCGTGGTTTGTCTTGAACCCATGACAAAATAAAAACCAGCTGATGTCAAGTACTCTTCAGTCTAGCCATAAATGCTAAAGTGACAGTATTTCTGAAAAACTTCATTCTTTCAATGTCACACAGATCACAGCATTCAAAACAAAAATGGACATAGCAGGCAGAATCTGGTCTTCATGGCAGATTACTTTCACCATATAACATTCTCAAAAATTCATCTGAGAAGTTCAGACTTTCATTAAAAAAAAAAAAAAAAAAAAAGCAACAAAAAAAACCAAACCACAAACCAAACACAAAACAAAATACCAAAAACAATCAAGAGTAATTTAGCCCTGTGGCCAAGACTGATTCCTTCACACTCATAAAAAATGCTTTTCCACTAAAGGTGACCTCTTACAGGTTTTATGAAGGCTCCTCCTGACAACAAGCCCACTCTTGTCACCATGAAGCTCGGAGCACAGGAACTGCTGAGTATGGCAGTTGGAGAAAACAGCCCTGCACTGCATTTGTGTGCTTCAGTAGTCATGGATGGAGAAGGACCATGCAGGATGATCTGTCTCAGCAGCAGAGGTTTCAGCTTGGCCTCTCCTACGATTGTCTGAGTGTTGGTACTAAACTTAAGCACACTTCTCTGCAGTTCCTATTTCAGCATTGAGTCACGGTATTGGGTGGGCAATTTTAGCTAAACTGATACTGGAAACATCTCAACAGGAGATGGCAGAGACGAAAGGCAGCAAATGCTGACTTAGAGAACACTCACCCCTTCTGAATAAATAAATTACTAGTGAGGGAGCTTTTACCAAGAGATAGTGCAGAACCAGCAGACCAGTAAACACTCAATGATTCTGCTTAAAGAACTGGCTTTTCAAAACCTGATCATAGTCACAGAACTAGCAGTTACTATCCTAACCATCATTTCTGCCATTTAATACAATACCTAAAAACTGTAATTAGTTTAGCTGAGAGAAATTCCCATTTACTGAAATGAAATTTCTCAGATCAATACAAAGTCCAAAAAAACCCCAAACATGACTAAAAAGCCTTTGATCATTGATTAATGGTCAAACTCAAAGTTTAGAAAAACAAGGTGATTCTAAGCCTATAAAATGATAGTCACAAAAAGCATCTGAAAATGCAAACACAGAACTGCCAAATGGATCTTCTTCAATACTAAAAATTAATTAAATACTCTAGTGTATGTTTAGGACCCAGAAGCAACATTATTAGGTAATATCTGCAATGATGCTGGTATCAATGTGTCTCAGCTACCAAGTCTGTAATTTCTCCAGCTTTTGAAGAATCAGAAAATATAATGGCCAGGACTGCTTTGTTTGTTTTGCTTTTTCCTCCCATCCTGTAATCACTGGAAAGCTCTAAGCTCACAATCATTGTCTCATGGCTCTAAAACAGATAATCAGGCTACCACTATGTATTTTCTATAATGTTCAACATTCAGTCAAGTCGGCTGTTATAGCTGAAGCAGGACACAGCTGCTTTCTAGTTAAGTGTATTTCCATTACTCTGCAGTAGCTGTTTTAAGCTGCAGGAAGAGTTTATATTCCATCTTTGTCCAAAAATTCGGAACAGATCCATCCCCACTCTCCCCTCTGATACGGAACTGCAATCCCAGCGGGTGAAGCACTTTAAAGTATCTTCCCATGATGACGGAAAAGCACTGAAGACGACCTTTGACACTAGCCCTCTACTTCAGAATCCTCTTTTGATTCAATTAAATTATCTGTTCTTCAAAGAACACAGTAGTTTGGGAGATGTTTTGTCAGCTATAACAAAGAGAGCTTTTACAGGAATAATGGGATGTAAAAGATGTGGGAACTTCAGGCTTATACATTTCTATATTCAGGTTTTCTTTAAATGCTGAGTAAACAAATTATTTTACATTAACGGAGGATTCCGACAAAAGCAACAGCAGCATGCTTCTAAAACTGCAGATACTGCAGATCCCACACAATGTGGCACTAGATACACGAGCAAGAAAACTTATTTCAGGCTCTCAGTGTACACTAGAATGCCATCTGTGGAGTTTTAGAGAAGGTTGTACAGATACTGAACAGAAGCTTTCAATAAAAGGAAGGATATTTGAACAGTTTTGAGAAATCAATTCAGAGAGTTCCTAGCAGTATAAAATGCTATAAAAGCCAGATCTGAATGACTTAGATCAGTACACAAAAGGACACAATACAGAAGGAATAAAATAGCTTCACTTCAGTAAGGCAAGAATTTAATTTACAGTGATTCTGCATTAGGCTCAGTTAGAGCACAGAGTGGGTTAGGCTTAAATTAAAGGAAATGCCCAGCACAAAAACAAAAACAAAAAAATTAAGGCAATATTTGATTCAGAAAATAAACAGCTAAAAACATTCTGATCTCAGTAAAAATTGCTGCTGGGAATCAAAAATAGACCATTTCTCAATTTACAAATCTTGGCTGTATTGAAGCAATAAAAGAGTTTTTGCTTGGCTTGCTCCCTCCCCATTAGCACAGGCTACTGAACTGTTTTCATTTAGTTAAATACAAATTTACCTGTTGAAACGGTAGATATCCCGTATGTTTCCAAACAAGGCTGATCGTTCTTCTGTCCCCAGGGAGAGCTTGGTCTGGTCAGTGATACAGTCAAGGTAATCCTACAAGAGAAACAAGAAGAAGGCCTTCAGACACTTCGTCCTTTTCCAGATCAGTAAATGGAGCTATGTTTTTACTGTACAAGATGAGCCTCTTCATACTAGTTTCACCTTAGCCTCTCTGTGAACAGTCACTCTATTATGAAAGGTAACAGTACTTATCTGTTTATTGAAACCAAGAAAATAACGAAAGACTGAACGCTGAGTTAGAGCCCTTAGACAGGACAGCCAAAATTTCGCTTGCTACTGATACAAAAATGTATTCAGATTTCATTCACAAGGACAGTTTAACCAATCATTTAACTGGCTAAAAAAAAAAAAAAAAGTAAAAATAAGAGATGAGGAATGTCATTTAAGGCAGTCTTAGTAACAGAAAACCTATATAAGGAAGAGCAGAATGCATACAAGTAACAGACTCAGAAAAGTAACTCAAAGAAAATTTTATTTTTAAATGATAATTAAGAAAACAACACAACATTTGTAGAAGACAGATCTCAATGCATAACGGTGCGTACAATTTAACCACACATACAGTTACGTTGCCATATACCCTAGCAAAGATCTCCTTTTGCATTTACAATAGTGATAGTGCCTCATCCAGGGACTTAAATAAAATAGGAGGAACAGGAGAGCTAGAAAAAGCTCAGATCAGCAATGTTCTGGGAGAACAACTTTCCCATCTCTTCCCTCACTTTAGTAACAGCTTAGCTCCCAAAGTGTCACCTTTCATTCTGTTGCTGCTACAGTATTAAAATTTCTCAGTTAGGGGCAAACAAAATCCAGCAGGCTACTTAACTAACTACAACTCTTAGATCAAGAAAGCCAATGTGCTGCCACATTCAGGGAGAAATTCTGCTGGAGGATGGAAATAAAGTAAAAGTGAAAACAGCTGAAACAATGCAAAATAAAAATAAATAAAATCCCTTAGCCTGGAGCTAGACAACATGGTGTGGCAGCCTCCCAAAAGCAACACAGCATTCCACAGTGCTGCAAGGAAGGAGCCCTGTAAAACAAAACAAGACCATGAAAACGTCTAAGATGTAACTGCATTCCAGAGTCGTAAAGAAAAAAGTATTACAGAACGCATATATCGGCCAAGATTTATTTACTGTGTAAAACCTGCTGAAGACAAAGGGTTTGGATCAACCATGGATCTGACTTCTGGCTTTTAGATGCCCTTCTAAGGAAGGTTAAGACTTACAGCAGTGCTCAGGCCTCCGTCTCATTCTTTTCTACTGAAAGAGTGACAGCAAAGTAACAAAGTAATGGGTGTAACCAAAACTCAGGTTTAAATACCAGTAGGCTTCCTTGTCCCCTCCCCCTATCCTAATGCTCAATAAACCACACTCTTCCATCACCCACAAAACTCAGTATTTTTTGCCAAGGGAAAGCAAGCAAGCTTATTTCAAGGCAACCTAGAAGAAGAGCAACAATTAGCAGTGGGCAGGCCAACAGCAAACAATACAAATCTGCATAGAAAAATGAATAACAGAAAAGCTCCAGTTTAACTGTGGTCCTCTGAAAACATTTTTAGCCCTGCAGGAACACTGCAGTAGCCCCAGCTGGTATGACAGGGTGGGTTGCAGAGGAATGGAAATCTTAAAACAAGCAACTTCATACAGCGAAACCTATTTAATAAAAAGGAATTCCTTTCAAATTCATTCATGTCAGCATAGTTGGAGCTTGGGTTTCTTCAAAATAACAAACAGTCCACAGTTATTTTCAGTATTGTAAACAGTGTTACAACCATGACCTGGTTTGTGCTCCTTTTGTCCTCTTATCCCAATTTTCCTGCAGATACATATACTCTTTTCAGTCTTTTATCAACTCTTAGTAAGAAAGAGGGAATGAAGTACTTTCTAATGCTCCTGCCAAGCAGCAGCCTGCAGGTGCTTTGGCAGTTCTCCAGCATTCCCGTAGCATGTGCCAGTATCAGGTTATACCACACATCCAGAGCTTGTGCTCACTTTTTTTGCTAAAAGTTCCTTGAGACTGTGCTTCAGGCCCCCTTCTCCTCCCAAGATCAGATCAGAAACAAACCAGAAATTAATGGCTGGATTTGTGCTTGCCTAGAGTACAGGAAGATTATTATTTGCTTAAAATGCTTGGGATTCTGAGGTTCCTTTTATCTCACCTCATGCCGTTAGGAAATCATATAGAATTTAGGACTGCTTTCATGTTTTTGCTTTCTATTTTTGTTTAATATTGCTAACTTGAGGCTTGTGCAAGTCTGACAGCTACAGACATGTTCACACTGCTGTGACATGTATAAGCAGACACCTGAGCTAGACACGAACTGCTTGATGTGGCACTAGCAGTAAAATCATAGAATGTCTTGGGTTAAAAAGGACCTCTAAAGGTCATCTAGTCCAACCCTTCCTACAGTAAGCAGGAACATCTCACACTAGAACAGATTGCTCAGAGCCCCATCAAGCCTAACCTTTAATGTCTCCAGGGATGGGGTCCCCACCACCTCCCTAAGTAACCTGTTCCAGTGATCCACCACCCTCATATTAAATAACTTTTTCCTAATGTCCAACCTAAATCTACCATTCTCTAGCTTGAAACCATTACCCCTTGTCCTATTGTTACATGGCCTTGGAAACAACTCTTCCCCAGCCTTCTTACAGGCCCCTTTCAGGCATTGGCAGGTTGCTATAACATCCCCCTGGAGTCTTCTCTTCTTCAGGCTGAACAACCCCAACTCCCTCAACCTGTCCTCATAAGAGAGGTGCTCCAACCCTCAGATAATTTTTGTGGATTTTCTCTGGACACACTCCAACAGGTCCACATCTTTCTTGTGCTGGAAGCACCAGAGCTGGATGCAGTACTCCAGGTGAGGTCTCAACCAGGGCAGAGCAGAGGCGTAGAATCACCTCTCTTCATGTGCTGGCCACACTTCTTTTGATGCAGTGCAGGATGCAGTTGGCCTTCTGAGCCGCAATTGCACATTGGTGGCTCACGTCCAGCTAAGGGTACTCAAAGCAGCAAAAAGCTTCAGATATCCATGCTTACGTGAAAGAGGTAGACACTGGACACTCTTTACACAGTGGTCTGATGAAATCCATGCTCAACACAGCAGCACAGTGCTCGCTCCGACACAGCAAGCGGGACCCTTCTGGTTATACTGCTTAACAGAGCCCGTGTGCTCTCATAAAGGCTTCAGGAACTCATCCAGAAAACAGATACAGTATTGACATATAATGTCCTCTGCAAGGACACCACCACAAGCAGATCAAAGCTACCCAGCCACAGGGTTTTTACTAATTGTTTCTGAGTAAATGGTACTTTACCCCCATGGTAGTCACAGCAGCCTCCTCCAGCATACTAACAGCTGTTATCATCTGAAGCCATAATGAAAGGTTTGCAGCCACAAGATAACAGGGCAGGCTGCAACCATAATGACATGGTGCAGAAATCAATGAAATTTATCAGAACAGAGTACCGGCCTTATTCACTTTATTTGTTTCTTGTCAGCATCTACGGACCCTCTGTCGGCACTGAATGATTTGTTTACAACCTTTGCCTTCACCAGCCTTTTATTGCTTCTCTGCAATTATGGCAAAAACATTTTGCTTACTTTATAGGAGAAAAAAACCCTACAAATGCCAGTCTCCTTGGATTGATTTAAGGAGCAAGGTTTGCTCTAATGAAATTGCACAATTTTTCCACTCTATTTTCTGAAGCTCTCCAAAAACTAGAAGAGTCTTGCCAGACTGCCTTGCCTTCCTCAATGGGTTTGACATTCTCCCCATTTGTCTTTCATCACACTGAGTCCATCAGAAGGAATGTCTGTTAGAAGCTGCATATCCTGACTACTATGCCCCCCTGCATAATCATACAAGGAATATCTCTAGAGGAACAAAATTATGACAAAATTAACCTCAGAGACTAAAAAAAAATAAAAAAATAAAATATTTGAATTGGAAATGAGAGAAAACTGTCAAGAAAAGAGTAAAATGAGAAAAAAATATCTTCACATATTGATCAAACTAATTTTTCCATGACCAAAGTTTAGAAACTAAACACAAATTAGTGAAATATTTTAATCCAGCCACGTAGGTTTTACTTTGAAAACAGGCACACACTTAGCTTTAAAAACAGACTACAGGCTGAACAATAATAAATAAATAAATCAGTCATTAATGAGGCAATGTTATAATTACACATTAAATTAGCAATATTAATGTCAGTGTTGACATGGTAATGCTAAAAAAATGGGCAAAAGCCACACTGCCTTAAATAAAACAAGAATAATTTCTTTTTCTCCTATTTTTTTTTAAATTTTAATTTATTTTATTTATGCATTTATCTAGCATGTACAGCAACACACCCTGAATGCCTTGTGGGACAAAAAATAGCATAATATCAACAACAGGTGACCAAGGATGCTAAATTCTGGTCAGAGAAGCTCATTGAAGCTCTTCAATTATTTAAGGTATAGTTGTACCTTGCAAAGCAAAGGTGCAGTTTTAAACCAAACATACTTGGCCTTCTTGTTCTGGTTCCTTTGGCGATATGTGTCCAAAGACTGACTTGAGACCTAAATCAAATCCATCTCCTTCCCATATCAAACCTTTTTATCAGGATTTCTCCTTAAAACACATAATTATCTTTGTAAGAAACACAACCACTAACCCAGGCTGTAAGTAACACAATCATGTTGTCATACAGCAGGCTAATACAGCTATATACTCACACTTAAATATTGAACATATTTTTAACTGTGGATGAGTCTGAGTGCCATAAAAATAAAAATCATATTTTATTCTGCTATAGATGTTACACATTATTGATCAAACCTCAAAAAATGCTTGCACTGCATTATAGCTCTTCTACATGCAAACCTAGAAACTTAAATAAATAAGGGAATTCTTTGTTTAAGCAAGCATATCTTTCCACTTTCTACATTTAGTGGAAAATGGGGCAGGTGAGGAGTGATATTCAGTGGGGATTTTTTTAAAGACATCTAAAGCCAGAAACCCCTCACATCAGGCAAAGCA